TTTTTTTTTTTGTATTGCCAATCTGGTGCAAACCAAAGCATATTTTATTAATCTACAGACAAAATGTTACAGTGTGATTACTTTGTCATTGGTTTTGCAGTGATGTTGACAGAGCAACTCAACATGTCTGTCGAATGGTATTACCATTTTATTGACTTTTCATGACAATGGTGATGATATTAATGAAAGCATATAAAGGCCCACGATGAACCAAATAATACTGAGTACTGTAATGACAAAAGAATATGAATGCAATTCTTTGGGGACTTCATCATACCTAAGAAAATGCAATGGATATATTACTTGGTTATAAAATGAATGCAAATAAAACTAAAACATGTTGTGATGTGTCAGACTTTGCCGACCGAAACATAGCTGTAAGTATTGAAAATCTTTATTTATAGTCTCCACTCAGGATAACTCAGTTATTTTCCCCCCCCAACTAGACAATGTGACTTCTATATATTTCTTATTTTGGATCCAATTACAACTTTTCAAAGAGTTAAAAGTGCCCTACAAAGAACTCTTATCGTAACCATTTGAAAATAAGTTGCCAAAATTATTTGCCAATAATTTTCAAAACTAAATTGCCTATCACCCTTGAATACTTTAGTGTGTTTTGTGTGTATTCTTGTAGTAACCATAACGACGCCACTCTAGTTGGGAAACTAACATTTTGCATTGCTACCACCCAATCCTCAGGTCCCATTCAAGCTTACCACTAGGGCAATTCAGTTCTTGAACCAATTCTAAGCAAACTTGTCAGAATATATTAGGAAATCTCACCCTTACCCTTACTCATGGTGGTGGGTCTAGAATCTACCTTGTTGTCCTAAGCCCAAGGTGACTGGGATGCCCTTCCCACCCCCATCCCCCCATTGCCTACACACCTTCAGCCTAGTTCTGGACCCTTGCTATATTTTGCATGACAATAGGATCAAGCCTCTACCTTAACTTGCTACTGTTCTCTCCACTTTGTTCTTTAAGACTGAAGCCCTACCCTGAAACCCAACTGGCTTGTTTAAGATTCTCTCTGT